GTCACATTCCATTATACAAATACATGCCTTATTGGCCTGGTTCCTATAGCAATGTGGGTACACACTGAAGGAGGCTTGCAGAGGTCTGTGCCCCTACCCCAACTCCTGTTATTTTTTAACTGGTTGCAGGGAACCACCTGCTGTTGGTTGCAAGGTTATGGGAAGTCACTGGTGGTATTCATATCAGCGTACTTTAGGTTGCTGAATCTCTGATTCCAGCTCCTATTCCTCTATTGTGCAAGACAGGTGTGGTCAGTTTCCTTTGGTTTTGATTCATTGGTTCTTATCTATGAAAAACTCCCTGGTGTTTTCTCCAAAGAAAGGGTAGAAATTCGATAAAATTTTAGCTTTTTAATTTGTTGTTAAGTGGCATGCGATGTCACAGCAAATTATATTATTGAATTCTTGAACTTCCTAGTTCCTTTTCTTTTCTTCAGATTATTTTATGTTAAGCCTGTACTCTGCGGAATAAAATTATTATGTATTTCACACTTGTAAGTGGATATACTCATACAAATACATATTATATGCTCTGTTAGGCATACTAAGAAACCATAAGAAAATTTTTTATGTCTCCTAAGAAACCATAAAAAAATTTTCTTGCTATTTACTGTTCGAAAATAATTGACACAAATTAAAAGTAACTTTGAGTTGAAATTCATTTTTGAGTGGTATTTTAAAAAATACCAAGAGATTTAATAATTTCCACAAAAATTTTATTAATGGTGATTAGAAACTTAAGGTATTTTCCTTTTTTACAAATTCTCATTTTGTATTTTCATGCTTTATATTCTGCCTCTGTGCTTTTTCTATGGTCTTTCTTAATACTCTAATGCGTCATCTAATTTGAAACAGACTGCTGCTGTTTTCAACTATATTCAGTTTGTGGGTTAAACATATGAGATAGAAATAACTGTTCAAAATGTGAATTGCTAAGGCTAGACATTCCAAGTAGGCCTTTGCACTCAGGAATGTGAGTGAGTCTGGGCAGAATTATATCCCTGGGTTATTTTAAAGTAATAATAAATGGGTGGGTATCCCGAAATTAGAAATTCATCTATTTAATTTATATGAAAGGTTGTGTTTGAAGAAGAGTGGACTTGGAGACTTTTGGATTAAATGAACCCATGCACAAATAGTTTCAGTGTATGACATTAAGGCCAGACACACCAAAAGTAAGTGATGCAGAAGGAAATGTGGCTCGACTTCCTCCATCCTTAACCAGCTGCTACTCTCTAGTGTCAGCCACTTTATTTTAGTTGGGAAGGAAACAGGAAATTAAAATGAATGAACGCATACATTTGTTGAAGTAGGACTATGAAACAGAAGTACATGCTGTGGTTGATAATAGCAAAACAATAGGTTTACAATTCCTGACCAGACAAACTCACATTTCTTATCTGAAAAGCCTACTTGGAATGTCTCCTACCCATAAAGCTGAAGGCACAATGATAGACATGGGCAGAAGAATGGCTTCCACCTGCTTTCACTATGGTGAAAGTTTCAGGTGACAGATTAATACCATTAGCCACCTTCATAATTTGGGTGTAGCACCACAAGAGATACACCCTTCACAAATCTAAGTCTATCATTTAAGGTGAAAAAATGGTCAAACAACAAAATTGAATTGGTGTGGTAACAAGAAGTCAAGGAAGCACATTCAGTAGCATATGTATACATTCTAAACAGTAGTAAAGACATGAATATATGGTGGAATAACCAAATAAACTACAGTGCAAAAAATTCTCTAAAGCCATTTCTTCCACTGCTTCAAAGAACAAACTAGTTGTTGGGATACATGAAATAAATGGCAATGCTACTGTTACATGTTCTCTAACATCAGGCAAACAAATATCCAAATGATGCTTCTCAAATCCAATTTATGCTGTAATACAATACCCAGAATAAAAACATACTGCAGAATGAAGCAAATTTGGGCCACTCAGGCTTATGTTATTCTACTTCAGAGAGACAAGAGAGTTTAAGGTCAAATATTTGGCCTAATAAATCAGTCCATATTTCAAACTATATGCTGTGTGTCTTTTCAATCAAAGAGATTCGCCTTTCTAAATTTAGATTCCTGTGGTAAGAAAAGGTAGATTGACTAACCCTGCCTCAGCTCTTCTCTTTTCCTCAGATGCAGAGAAATTAAGTAATATATCCAAGCTTATGCAGAGATGTGAAGATCTGAGAGGATAATTCAGGATATTTACTCCAAAATCTGTATTCTTTCCCCCATCTCATTTATTCCTAAAGTTGTGATTCAATTCCAATTCAGCACTGACCAAACTAATGTAAATCACATCTTCTTTAGGGCTCCCCCATTAATCTCTCAACTCTCACTAGACCAAGGATGGGCCAAAATATTAAATTTACTTGTGATTGGCCACAAAAGCCCTATGCTGGAATGTTGGCAGTCTGAAGTCTGGTTTTAAATTCTATGAATTTACTTATTCCTACAACTATAGCTCATTAAATCTACTATGAGACATAAAATCAAAGTGAACAAACCATCACATCTACCCTCAAAGAGTTCACAGATTTATGACTTTAAAAAACCATTAAAATTAGTTGCCCTAATATAAAAACTATTTACAGAAAAGGTAAGGATAAAATCCCAAATAAAGCTAATGCTTAATGTAAAGCAGATAAAGAGTAATCAGGGAAAACCACTGGAAAGAAGTCTCCAGAAGAATGTAGAGAGCCTGAGTTAGCTGCCACTCTTTCTGTTTCCTTTTCTCTATCTATAAAATAGAAGAATGTGAAAGCTCAGTGGATATGTCACATCCATGTGTTAATAGAGACCCAATGCCTAACAAAGTGATCAACACTGTATTTTTAGTTACTCTTGTTCTATAAAATAATGTCCATATAACAGATTATTATTCAATATTATTATTATTATACAATAATTGGGAAATTGTATTCAGCAAAATGCTTAGACCCTTGCCACAAATTTTATGTTAGAAAACAAAACAGTCAGCCTGTCAATATATTATTTTTAAAATTATATGTGTATGTATAAATATAAAGTTAAGACTATTCCTAAGTAGCTGTCTGTATTTTTTTCTTAAATAGATCACAATTAATAGATTCTGAATTTTCAAGGAATTTTGTTCTATAGCTTTGAATTTCCCTTCCTAGAGTTGTAGAAACTCAAATACCGTACTTGTTACTTGGGATGTAGATCTGGTCATAATACCTAATAATACCTCAATATCCCCTCATTTATCTTTCCACTGTTTCCAGATGGCCAATGGCTCTGTACAACAAAAGAGGGATATTGGAGATTTGGACTCTATTCCCATTTCTGTTAATACTTACCTAAAATCCTGGACAATCCTTGATTCAAGCCCTATATTTATACCACAAGCAATAGCTGAAAGCAAGGTGCTATGTTGGACATTAAGAGTTTAAAAACTGATAAGCTGTGGTATTATCATTTAATAAGTTGGCAGTGTAGCAGGGAAGAAAATATTAGCATAACAATAATACAACCTATATATTAAATGTGATAAACCTTATATACGTAAAATATTATGGTAACCTTTTTAGGAGAAATATGACTTTCAGTGGCAGATACCTGGAAAAGCATGTTAGAGTACAAAATAAGAATACTTCTCTTCACTGCCAAAATGCATTACTGAATTCCTTTAGTGATGATAGAGTTGTAGGTAATGCTATAGAAAGTAGAATATGATTGTTATTTTTAACGGCAATAACTCTAGAAAATTGTAGAAATTGCTGTAAAATTTACTTTTGTTCTTTAAGCTTTTGGGAAGCACTGAACAATGAATGTTAGATATCATGAAATAGTGTTGATTTCATAGGCATTTAAGTACGTAATCTCCTGTATACCCTAGTATTTCACATTTAACAGCTTATAATTTTTGACCAAAGTATGCATATTTTCAAATTACAGCTTGTAAAATAACACTTCACCTATTTATGACAATATTAGGATACCCCAGCTAACTATATCCTAGACCAAATTTCTATGCCATTTTTGCCACTTGAAAATAAGGCAGCTACCTTTTCAGCCCTGAAAGCATACTTTCTTTTAAAGCTATAAGGCTTCTGTATTAATAGAATCCCAAACATTCCATAGTGCTGGCTCAACATGCTGAAATGTGAGTTCAGAAAGCCCATTTTGATCTAAACTGTTTACTCTGATTTTCAGCAGGGGATACTGAACAAGGGGCCACAGTTCAATTCTTGAAACTGTGGTCCACTTAAGGAACCGCAGTGAGGTTAACTGGCAACTTTCAGAATGCCAGGGAGACAGGGCAAAGGGTTGTTCCTGACATTTTTCACATGACTTTCTAAACAAAATGCTTCTATTAGAGTTTTTGAAAGGGTGTTTCAGCAGTTACAGAGTAAGATTCGTGAGTCAGGAGTCTGCTAGTAACATGGTGGAGAAATGCATTTGGGGAGAGGATCAAGAATGAGAAGGAAAAAGAAGAAAGTGGGACAAATAAGGATATAGACTAGTGAAAAATGACGAATACCATTTTTTATCAAAGTTTTTTGCTTAAGAGTTTATATAAAAATCCAAAAGCACCCTGTTAATAACATAGGCTTTTTCAGATGGAAAAGAAAAAATATGTCGTTAGCCAAAATATCGAATTTTACCCAAGAAAATAGCAATCATATTTCAATAGGAAAAGCTGCCATATTTAAAAAATAGGACAAGAGAATATTTGGTTAGCACAACACCAGTCTCTGGAAAAGCTCTATTAACTACCCTTCAATAATACCTTCTTTTCATAGATTAGCAATGGTGTTGAATTAAAAATGAGAATTTAATTGTGTTTTCCGGGGAGATTTGTACTGAAATGACTTTTGTAAAAAAAATAACTGATTCTTTGAACGGCAACAGGCATACGCACAGAAATCGGTTCTTCCCTTATGGAAACTGTCTGTCTATCTCACTTACCACAAGGGAAGTTTCTTATTTTTATTTTTACTTTTAATTAAAAAAATTTTTTTTTTTGCCGCTGTCTCCTTAGACATACATCATTGTCACTTAATGTCAGTAGCAGAACTGGACAAAGTTTTCACCACCGAGGGAAGTTTATTCAGAGAAGATCCTGTACTTAATCCACTTTAGATACCGGGCATTTACCATGATATCCAATAGATATCATGGACGTACGTCATTAAGTGAGACAAATGAAATTGAAGTGTCCATACTGCAGCAGAAATTTTTTCTATGCAATAGCCACCAATGATGAACGTGAAAATCAACACCTTATCTGAAATGCAGAGGAGTCACAGCTTAAATATAGCCCTTTGAGGATCTTTCTGGAGAATGTCTTTCTTCTCAGTTATATCACAAGTCATGAAATTCAGCTTGAGAAAAATCACAACTGAAACATGTTCCCTGCTAATTCAACAATGGAAAGAAAACGTGGCGATGGAGTTTTAGAAAGCAAAGGTTCTTTTACCTACCTGATCAATATAGAATTATCAGTTGACAAACTTATTTCCACATGGTTATTAACTTACTCAAGCAAATGAAAATTTCATTAGTACCTAGAAGTCATGGCAGATGTTAACAAAGTTTGACAAATATATTTAAAATGTATTATGTACCAGTTTCTTATTTCTTATTACAAACTGTTTTCGCTCTACTGACATTAACTGCAGAAATTGTCATGGTTTTTTCTCTTGGCTGTTTGTATCAGTATAAGCTACAAAATAGCTTATTACTTCCTGTTTTTGCCAACTTTGATAAGGTGAAAATATTTACTTGGCTTAAGTATGGTGGAAGAGAATAAGTACCTTTATACTGTATTTCTCTACAAATAGAATTGCTCAAGCAGGCCAAAAATGAATTGAGAATCATATAAAGTGTTCTATATTAAATTATTATTTTTCTTTTTTTTATTGCATTTTAGGTTTCAGGGTACATGTGCAGAACATGCAAGATAGTTGCATAGGTACACACATGGCAGTGTATTTTGCTGCCTTCCTCCCCTTCACACACATTTGGCTTTTCTCCCCAGGCTATCCCTCCCCAGTGCCCATCCCTGCCGCTGTCCCTCCCCTATTCCCCCATAGACCCCAGTGTGTAGTACTCCCTTCCCTGTGTCCATGTGTTCTCATTTTTCATCACCCATCTATGAGTGAGAATATGTGATATTTCATTTTCTATTCTTGTGTCAGTTTGCTGAGAATGATGTTCTCCTGATTCACCCATGTCCCTACAAAAAACATGAACTCATCATTTTTGATTGCTGCATAATATTCCATGGTGTATATGTGCCACATTATCCCAGTCCAGTCTATCATCAATGGGCATTTGGGTTGGTTCCAGGGCTTTGCTATTGTAAACAGTGCTGCAATGAACATTCGTGTGCATGTGTCCTTATAGTAGAACGATTTATAGTCCTTTGGATATATACCCAGTAATGGGATTGCTGGGTTAAGTGGAATTTCTATTTCTAAGGCCTTGAGGAATCGCCACACTGTCTTCCACAACGGTTGAACTAATTTACACTTCCACCAACAGTGTAAAAGTGTTCCTATTTCTCCACATCCTCTCCAGCATTTGCTGTCTCCAGATTTTTTAATGATCGCCATTCTAACTGGTGTTAGATGGTATCTCAATGTGGTTTTGAGTTGCATCTCTCTAATGACCAGTGATGATGAGCATTTTCTCATGTGTTTGTTGGCCTCATGTATGTCTTCTTTTGTAAAGTGTCTGCTCATATCCTTTGCCCATTTTTGAATGGGCTTGTTTGTTTTTTTCCTGTAAATCTGTTTGAGTTCTTTGTAAATTCTGGATATCAGCCCTTTGCCAGATGGGTAAACTGCAAACATTTTTTCCCATTCTGTTGGTTGCTGATTCACTCTGGTGACTGTTTCTTTTGCTGTGCAGAAGCTGTGGAGTTTCATTAGGTCCCATTTGTCTATTTTTGCTTTTGTTGCCAATGCTTTTGGTGTTTTGGTCATGAAGTCCTTGCCTACTCCTATGTCCTGAATGGTTTTGCCTAGATTTTCTTCTACGGTTTTTATGGTGCCAGGTCTTATGTTTAAGTCTTTAATCCATCTGGAGTTAATTTTAGTATAAGGTGTCAGGAAGGGGTCCAGTTTCTACTTTCTGCACATGGCTAGCCAGTTTTCCCAACACCATTTATTAAACAGGGAATCCTTTCCCCCTTGCTTGTTTTTGTCAGGTTTATCAAAGATTGTATGGTGGTAGATATGTTGTGTTGCCTCCAATGCCGCTGTTCTGTTCCATTGGTCTATATCTCTGTTTTGGTACCAGTACCATGCTGTTTTGATTACTGTAGCCTTGTAGTATAGTTTGAAATCCGGTAGTGTGATGCCCCCCGCTGTGTTCTTTTTGCTTAGAATTGACTTGGCTATGCGGGCTGTCTTTTGGTTCCATATGAAGTTCATGGTGGTTTTTTCCAGTTCTGTGAAGAAAGTCAATGGTAGCTTGATGGGGATAGCATTGATTCTGTAAATTCCTTTGGGCAGTATAGCCATTTTCACAATATTGATTCTTCCTAACCATGAACATGGAATATTTCTCCATCTGTTTGTGTCCTCTCTTATTTCATTGAGCAGTGGTTTGTAGTTTTCCTTGAAGAGGTCCCTTACATTCCTTGTAAGTTGTATTCCAAGGTATTTTATTCTTTTTGTAGCAATTGTGAATGGCAGTTCATTCTTGATTTGGCTCTTTTTAAGTCTGTTATTGGTGTATAGGAATTCTTGTGATTTTTGCACATTGATTTTTTATCCTGAGACTTTGCTGAAGTTGCTTATCAGTTTCAGGAGATTTTGGGCTGAGACGATGGGGTCTTGTAGGTATACTATCATGTCGTCTGTAAATAGAGACAATTTGGCTTTCACCTTTTCTATTTGAATACCCTTTATTTCTTTTTCTTGCCTGATTGCGCTGGCTAGAACTTCTAGTACTATATTGAATAGGAGTGGTGAAAGAGCGCATCCTTGTCTAGTGCCGGATTTCAAGGGAATGCTTCCAGTTTTTGCCCATTCAGAATGATATTAGCTGTTGATTTGTCATAAATAGCTTTTATTACTTTGAGATATGTTCCGTCAATACCGAGTTTGTTGAGGGTTTTTAGCATAAAAGGCTGTTGAATTCTGTCAAATGCCTTCTCTGCATCAATTGAAATAATCATGTGGCTTTTGTTTTTGGTTCTGTTTATGTGGTGAATTACGTTTATACACTTGTGTATGTTGAACCACCCTTGCATCCCCAGGATGAATCCTACTTGATCATGGTGGATAACCTTTTTGATGTGCTGTTGCAATCGGTTTGTCAGTATTTTATTGAAGATTTTTGCGCCTATGTTCGTCATGGATATTGGCCTGAAGTTTTCTTTTTTGTTGAATCTCTGCCGGGTTTTGGTATCAGGATGCTGTTGGTCTCATAAAATGATTTGGGAAGGATTCCCTCTTTTTAGATTATTTGGAATAGTTTCAGAAGGAATGGTACCAGCTCCTCTTTGTGTGTCTGGTAGAATTCGGCTATGAACACATCTGGACCTGGGCCTTTTTTGAGTGGTACGCTCTTAATTGCTTCCTTGACTTCAGACCTTGTTATTGGTCTATTCATAGTTTTGGCTTCCTCCTGGTTTAGGCTTGGGAGGACACAGATGTCCAGGAATTTATCAATTTCTTCCAGGTTTACTAGTTTATGTGCATAGAGTTGTTTGTAATATTCTCTGATGATGGTTTGAATTTCTGTGGAATCTGTGGTGATTTCCCCTTTATCGTTTTTTATTGCATCTATTTGGTTGTTCTCTCTTTTCTTTTTTATCAGCCCAGCTAGTGGTCTGTCTCTTTTTTTGATCTTTTCAAAACAACAGCTCTTGGATTTATTGATTTTCTGAAGGGTTTTTCGTGTTTCTGTCTCCTTCGGTTCCACTCTGATCTTAGTTATTTCTTGTCTTCTGCTAGGTTTTCAGTTTTTTTGATCTTGCTCCTCTACCTCTTTCAATTTTGATGGTAGGGTGTCAATTTTGGATCTCTCCACTTTTCTCATATGGGCACTTATTGCTATATTTTCCTCTAGAGACTGCTTTAAATGTGTCACAGAGATTTTGGTATGTTGTGTCTTCGTTCTTGTTGGTTTCAAAGAACTTCTTTATTTCTGCCTTCATTTCATTCTTTATCCAATCAACATTCAAGAGCCAGTTGTTCAGTTTCCATGAAGTGGTGCAGTTCTGAGTTAGTTTCTGAATTCTGAGTTCTAGCTTGATTGCACTATGGTCTGAGAGACTGTTTGTTATTATGTCAATTGTTTTCCATTTGCTGAGGAGTGCCTTACTTCCAATTATGTGGTCAGTTTTAGAGTAGGTGTGATGTGGTGCTGAGAAGAATGTATATTCTGTGGATTTGGGGTGGAGAGTTCTGTAAATGTCTATCAGGTTGCTTGTCCCAGGTCTGAGTTCAAGCCCTGGATATCCTTGTTAAATTTCTGTCTGGTTGATCTGTCTAATATTGACAGTGGAGTGTTAAAGTCTCCCACTATTATTGTGTGGGAGTCTAAGTCTTTTTGTAAGTCATTAAGAACTTGCCTTATAGATCTGGGTGCTCCTGTATTGGGTCCATATATATTTAGGATCATTAGCTCTTCTTGTTTTATCGATCCTTTTACTATTACGTAATGACGTTCTTTGTCTCTTTTCATCTTTGTTGCTTTAAAGTCTATTTTATCAGAGATGAGAATTGCAACTGCTGCTATTTTTGCTGTCCATTTGCTTGGTAAATCTTCCTCCATCCCTTTATTTTGAGCCTTTGTGTATCCTTGTATGTGAGATGGGTTTCCTGGATACAGTACACCGAGCGGTTTTGGTTTTTTTATCCAATTAGCCAGTCTGTGTCTTTTGATTGGTGCATTTAGCCCATTTACATTTAGGATTAATATTGTTATGTGTGCATTTGATACTGCCATTTTGATGCTAGATGGCTGTTCTGCCCATTAGTTGGTGCAGATTCTTCATTTTGTTGATGCTCTTTAGCATTTGGTATGCTTTTTGAATGCCTGGTACTGGTTGTTCCTTTCTATGTGTAGTGCCTTTCAGGATCTCTTGTAAAGCAGGCCTGGTGGTGACAAAATCTCTGAGTATTTGCTTGTTTGCAAAGTATTTTATTTTTCCTTCACTTGTGAAGCTCAGTTTGGCTGGATATAAAACTCTGGGTTGAACGTTCTTTTCTTTAAGGATGTTAAATATTGGCCTCCACTCTTCTTTGGGCTTGTAGCGTTTCTGCCGAGAGACCTGCTGTGAGTCTGATGGGCTTCCCTTTGTGGGTGACCCGACCTTTCTCTTTGGCTGCCATTAGTATTTTCTCCTTCATTTCATCCCTGGTGAATCTGACGATTATGTGCCTTGGGGTTGCTCTTCTTGCAGAATATCTTTGTGGTGTTCTCTGTATTTCCTGGACTTGAATATTGGCCTGCCTTGGTATGTTGGGAAAATTTTCCTGGATAATATCCTGAAGAGTATTTTCCAGCTTGGATTCATTCTCATCGTCACATTCAGGTACACCTATCAAACGTAGGTTAGGTCTCTTCACATAGTCCACATTTCTTGGAGACTTTGTTCATTCCTTTTTGCGCTTTTTCCTCTAATCTTGGTTTCTCATTTTATTTCGTTGAGTTGATTTTCAACTTCTGATATTCTTTTTTCTGTTTGGTCAATTCAGCTGTTGAAACTTGTGAATGCTTTGCGAAGTTCTCGTGTTGTGTTTTTCAGCTCCTTCAATTCATTCATATTCCTCTCTATTTTGTCCATTCTTGTTTTCATTTCTTTCAATCTTTTTCCAAGGTTCTTAGTTTCTTTGCATTGATTTAGAACATGTTCTTTTAGCTCACGGAAGCTTCTCATTACCCACCTTCTGAAGTCTGATTCCGTCATTTTGTCACACTCATTCTCCATCCAGCTTTGTTTCCTTGCTGGTGAGGAGTTTTGGTCCTTTGTAGGAGGCGAGGTGTTTTGGTTTCAGATGTTTTCCTCCTCTTTGCGCTGGTTTCTTCCTATCATTGTGGATTTATCCAACTTTCATCTGAGTAGTTGCTGACTTTTTGATTGGGTCTCTCAGTGGACACCCAGATTGTTGATGATGAAGTATTTCTTTTTCTTAGTTTTTCTTCTAACAGTCTAGCCCCTCTGCTGTATGACTGATGAGGTCCACTCTATGCCCTGCTTGTCTGTGGTACACCTGTAGCAGCTGCAGAACAGTGAGGGATGCTACCAGTTTCTTCTTCTGCTATCCTTGTCCCAGAATGATGCCTGCCAAATGTCAGTCTGATCAGTCCTTTTTGAGGTGACTTTTTGGATATACAGGGGTCAGGGAGCTGCTTGAGGAGACAGTCTGTACTTTATAAAATCTTAAGTGCTGAGCTGTGAGCTCCGTTGTTCATTCAGGGCTGTTAGGCAGGTATGTTTAAGTCTGGTGCAGCAGAACTCATAAAACCCCTTTTTTTCCTCAGATGCTCTGTCTCGGGGAGTTAGGGCTTTTTTTATGAGTATCCATTGCACTGTCCTGCCCAGCTAGGAGGCAGTCTAGTCACTATTTGCCTGCTGAGGCTCTGCCCTTCTGCCGTGGGGTCCTCTCTGTTGCCATTGGCTTTGCCCTGCTGCCGTGGGCTCCGCTCTGTTGCCATGTGCTCTGCCCTACTGTCGTGGGCTCCGCCATGTTGCTGTGGGCTCCACCCTGCTGTTGTGGACTCCACCCTGTTTCCATGGGCTCTGCCCTGCTGCCGAGTGTAATTCCCTGTAGTCCTGTTTATATGGGTGTGGTTTAAACTGCTGTGGTGATGGTGGCCCTCCTCTGTATTGGCAGAGTCTCTCTGTTATGGCAGGTTGCCTCAGCAATGGCAGGCTGCGTCAGCAATGGGAGTGTACCTCAGTATGGGCGGAATGCCTCGGTAATGGCAGACAACCCTCCCTCACCAAGCTGCACAGTCCTGGGTTCAGCTGTGCCTACAGCAAAACTCTTAATCCCGAGCATTTCAAATCGCCGTTTTGTTTGTCCCTGTGTGAGTAGGACCTGCCGAGCCTGATCATCTGGTTCCCTGCCTCAGAGCCCTTTTTTTTTTTTTAAGTTGAACAGTTGACTCTCTCCCAGGTGTTTCAGTCGCCTGCTGATAGGGCACCGGGATCTGTGTGATTTCCCATGCAGCGACCCACTGTGCCAGCTAAAACATCACTTCCCAGGAATCTCCTGGTCTGGCTCACTGTCCAAGTCCCGTTTAATCAGTTGGATATGCTAATCTGCCCTCCCAAATCTCAGATAGTTGGTTTAACAGGGCACCCAGACCAGTGCGTTTTGTGCAGAGTGCCACTGGGCTGCGGTGCTGGCTGAAATGGCCGCACCAGCCAAAACAGCTGCACTGGTGTCTTGTGTCTCTCCTACACCTGGGAATTTCCCTGTTCTGTGGGCAACAAAGATCTGTCTGGAAATGCAGCTTGCACTCACCCTCTGCACCTTCACTGAGAGCTGCAATCCTGAGTTGCTCCTACTGTGCCATCTTCTTTTTACCTCACTATATTAAATTATTAATAGTTAACCTTTATCTTGTGATCTCTGGTATAAGAAGGAAGTGGATATTATCTTTGTCTTTTAAAGTAAGGATAAGATACACATTTAGTCAATTCTAATCAAAACAAAGAAGTATTATTTTCTAAATTATTTTGCTTTTCTTTTCCTTAGTTTCTTTCTTTTTCTTTTTCTTTTTTTTGGGGGGGGTGTGGACAGGGTCTCACTCTGTCACCCAGACCAGAGTGCAGTGGTGTAATCTTGGCTCACTGCTGTCTCCACCTCCCAGGCTCAAATAATTCTCCTGCCTCAGCCTCCTGAGTAGCTGGGACTACAGACATGTTCCACTACCACCCAGCTAATTTTTTTTTCTTTTTCTTTAGTAGAGATGGGGTTTCACTATGTTGTCCAGGCTGGTCTCGAACACCTGCCCTCAAATGACCCAACCCCTTGGCCTCCCAAAGTGCTGGGATCACAGGTGTGAAGCACTACACCCAGCTCCCTTGGTTTCTTATGTTCATGCACAATCTCTGAGACAGGCAAGGTTAAGGGTTGAAGATGGAGCAAAGGAATCAGGGTTTGAATACATTTGAACAAACATACAGTGAATATTTCTGAGCATCTAATGTGGATAATCACAGGGGACATAGCTTTTAATAAAAATCAACTCCATTGTCTATAGTTTAAAATGAAAAACAAACGTCAAATGTTCTAGCTTCAGATTTTCATATTACCTTTTATACACTGGTGTAATTGAATTCAAGGAGATTATAAGCCTTCAACATGGATATGATATCTCTACAATTGATAGCTTCCAGTTACTAGCTATCCTTATCCAATAGAAAGGCTTCACAAACTAAAACTAATGTTGTGGTCTTGGGTTCTTGAATTGAACAGAGATTGTACAAAAAATATAGCAACACTATCTTCAAGAAACTGAGATTTGAGTTAAATTTCTAGAAGTATATATTTCTATTTATTGAATGGAAAACAAACCAAACTAATAAAGTGTGTCCATTATTGTGTAAAAGAACAAGTAATCAAGTTCTCCTAAAGGTAGCTCTGCTATAATTGGTATCTACATTTTTATATGTTTACTTCTAATGTTATAGCCATTTGTTATGTAATTTGATACAATCTATAATGAGTTTTTTTTTATATTTCTTAGGCGAAAAAAGCTCTTTATCATTTTCCTCATGATCTTTCCCTCCTGTGTTCACACCTTTGTATGATTTCCTCCCCTGTAGTGTGCACAAACCTGGTTGTGTCTAATCCACTGAATCAGCAAAGCTTATGGAATGCCACTCTTGTGATTACCTCACAATATGGAAGACTGTCTTGATAGGAGACTCTCTCCAGAGATTCTCTTGCTTCCTTGATGAAATATGAGATTGTGCAGAAAATGTTCATGTGGCAAGGAACTTAGGTGGCTTCTAGGGACTTCAGGAGGCCTCCAGTTGCTAAGGAGGGGGATTGTAGCTGACAAGCAGAAAGAAGGCTAAGATTGCAGACTCACAACCAGGAAATGAATTCTGCAAGCAACATGAATGAACTTGGAAGTAGGTTATTCTCTTGAAACCTCCAAGCAAAATTCCAGATTGAAATCTTGTGGAATCCTTTGAAGAAGACTCAGCTAAGTTGTGTCTGGGCTATTGACTCACAGACATTTTGAGATAATAAATGCATGCTGTTTTAAGCTGCTAAATTTGTAGAAATTTAATATGTATCCATAGATAACTAACTAACCAATTATTCTGCAATAACTTTCTTAAAGCCTAAGTAATTTCTATAGAGGAGGCAATAATTTGTTTTTACATTCAACAAATATTTATTTAGCGACAATACTGTTCTCATTACTAGGGACATGGTAATAAATACAAAAGACAAAATTTATAAGCCCTCATGGGAGACATGTTAATGATATTTAAAATTGTCATAGAATAATTACATAATTACAGGTGTAAATAATTACATAATTACAAGTATTAAGTGAACAACAGATGATCAGCCTGCTTTGGGGGAATGAGAAAAAAGCTATCTCAGTGGTGTGCTGGTGTGTATTTAACAATGGGCTCTTGGCAGCAGGAAGGGAAGTGAGTCCTCCTGTGTTTCATTCGCTTGTTTCTGTGACAACTACCCCGCAATGGTCAATTTTAAGACACTAATATGATATAACTAATGTGATATCATTGAATGCAGAGTTGGAAAGAAAAGAACACAATCAACTTTTGCAGCTTGGTGCAGACAGGCCCGCACACCACTAGGCTTCTCTAAATATGCAACAGTGAAACTGAGAACAGACAGATGACTCTAACTCAACTAACCACAATGAGAATGAAAAGCTTTTCAGTAGAGCAGGCAAAATATCATAGGTCCTGAACCAAGAAGAGTTTGCTTGTTTGAAGAACCAAAAGAAGTAGAATGTGACTGAAATTTAACGGCTAAAGGAACAGAAATTCAAAGGGGAGAAGAGCAAATCAGGAAGATGGTCAGACCGTATTTTAAGCCTTAAGAATCCAAGAATAAATCATAGATGCAAAGTTCCTTCCTCATGGTGCTCCCACGGTCCTGTATGTAATGCTAAGAATTTTAGAGTTTGGCCTAATTGCAGAGAGAAACAGTATTATTACTGTCTAGAAAATAGTTTGTATTTTTTAAAAATGACTCTTTGGATAAATTGATTTTTAGAAGTATATGACTATGGGAAAACCAGTTCAGAGAATATTATTCACCTGAGTATCAATTCTTTTATCTATAAAATAAAAATAATAGGCCGGGCATGGTGGCTCACGCCTGTAATCCTAGCACTTCGGGAGGCCAAGGTGGCGGCAGATCAAGAGGTCAAGAGATTGAGACCATCCTGGCCAAAATGGTGAAAATCTCTCTCTACTAAAAACACAAAAAATGAGCTGGGCATGGTGGCATGCACCTGTTGTCCCAGCTACTTAGGAGGCTGAGGCAGGAGAATCACTTGAACCGGGAGGTGGAGGTTGCAGTGAGCTGAGATGGCACCAGTACACTCCAGCCTGGCAAAAGAGGGAGACTGTGTCTCAAAATAATAATAATAACACTACCTTCATCATGATTGTTTTGAGAATAATTTAATAAATACAAGCTGTCTAGAGAAGTGATTAGAACACAGTACATGTTCAAGAAATTTTAAGAACTTTTTTATTTTCCTTCTATACTGCCTTCTTCTTTATTATTAGTATATAAAGTACAGGAAGGAAGTTTGTTGCAGATATGCAAATCTGAAAGTGGTCATCATATGTCTACTATGATTTCCAACATCATACGATGTTTGAATCCCTAGTAGACAATAGTGTTAGGGAGTCAATGATATAAGAGAACGAGGAAGAAGACCCAGATTAAAGCTATGTGGAGCCCCAAAATTTAAAGTTTGACTGTAAGTGAAGAAACCTCTTCCTTTGGCAGAAACTTTTGTCATAAAGTCTGGGAATGAAAGGTTCTGTCTGCAGAATTATGTTGAGCTCACACCTGGATTATAGAACTCATTTCTAAGGTCGTCGTTATTAGAAGTATGCAGAAAAACTGGATAGAGTTCAGGGAAAAGTAATGAGAATGATTAAAGACTTGAGGTTGATGGATTTATGAGAAAAGAATAGAAACCAGAACGTGTTTCAACATAGGCTATGGGGAGATAAATATAATTAACCTTCTACAGTTTTGAAAGAATAGGGAAAAATATTTTCCTAAGATTGAAAAAGAAAAAGAAAAAAAAATAGTCTATTAGCCCAAATAAAAGAGGAGACCCTGAGATCAAAAATATTTATTTTGTGAAGTTTTATACAATGTTTATGTGAATAAATATCACCCAACTATATAATAAAAAAATCTCTGGAAGTCTTTACTTTTAGATAAAATAAAATCTTTACCAGTGCAGAGATTTGGATCTTTTTTACTGATACATCACCAATATCTGGAGCAATGCTTGACACAGAGAAATTGCTTAATGAATATGTGCAAAACTTTTAAAAAAGAAAACAACATCCTTAAGATTTAAACCTAAAGGCTACTCATAGTATCAGGAGTAAGTCTTTGACTGATCTAAGGATAATAGATGCCACCAAATGGAGGTAAATTCAACTGTGGATTACAATATACTCAAGCTCCAACCCCCCACTTATTTTAGCAGACATTCTGTAGAGAAAAAAACTAGGCTACATTATATAGAATTATAGGTTCACATCCTTATCTCTTAATATTATCAAATATTAACTTTCTAAATATTAACAAAATGTCTCACAGAAATTTAGGGTCATAACAAAGACAAAAATTCAATAAAATAATTAAAAGCAATTTCTTCTAAATAGCCACTTGCAAGTGTTATAATGTTGGTTTTTGATGGAAAAAACTATAAGAAAAAATGCAATCAAATATTTGCTTTCAGTTTTAACAAATTAGCTTTTTCAAGTTAATTCCTTAATTTACCTTTCTTGCTGTTGTAATGTCAATAAAATATGAATTCTATTAAATTAACAAAATTTTCAAAGTCATAAGATCTGTATGGTTAAAACCATATGATTTTAGAGAATGGACTTCATAGGATTACAGATCATTTTACAATAATAAAAATCCTATAGAAGGTAAAAACTGTGAGTATTTTGATAATACCAGCAATAAATAAAATCTTAAAACTATCCTCATAGCAGTGATAATAGCACAAATTTTGTAGAAATAGCCTGTGCTAAGTTTCTTTCTAATAACCAGAAATATATAACCAGAAAAGATAGCATCTTTGGGAATTAATTGCTGAAAATGCCTTATAAATTTAAAAACGTGTCATCTTCTATTAATGTACTGAACTGTGTGCTAATGTCAAAAAATGTCAGAATCAGAATTAGTAAGTCGGTGATAAAATAGAGTAATCATGCTGATTTTAGGAAAACTCTGTCAACAATTAGATGTGCCACTTTGGACTAATTTGCACAGCAGGACATCAGAAAAGCGAGAACTCTTCAGAGGAGTAGCTCCAGAAGTCTGCATTGAGATTCACTAGGAGTACGTGATCCAGATGAGATTGCCCATGTACAAGGTGAGGATATGTGTTTAGCAGATCTGATCCAGGGCTAAGAATTAGGTGGTGATACCAGATATCATGCAGTACCAGGAAACATTGAAGATCTTGTCCTCCCAATGTGGAGAGATGTTGCTGAGCATCATAGGCATTCAGTCAAAAATCTAGAAATACTATTCACCTTTGGACTAAGGAAACATTCTAGAGTAGGATACACATTCTAGAACTAAGTGCAAAATAGAAATAACAATGACCTACCAAAGATTAAAATAAATCTTGTTACAGCCAGGAAATCCACAGCAATTAAACCTTCAACCAGCTCAAAAATCAATACCCATTAGAGAAAAACAACATAATCTAGATGTCCAACAATGTATAGTTTACAATGGCCAACCTGAAATAAAATAATTAGTAGACATACAGTAAACCAGAAAGGTATTTTTTTCTTAATGAAGAAAAAAAGTCAATAGAATTAGACTGGGAGATGAGCAAGCTGTTGGAATTAGCAGACCAACATGCCAAAAAATTATTGTATAAATATGTAATTAAATGTATTTATATATGATATAGCAGTATTATTCTTAATAGTAAAAACCTGAAACTGTACATGTGCAAAAACAGGAAAATGTATAAACTGTTATGTGTTCACACAATGCAATATTACACAGCAATAAAATAATGTAACAGACAAATAAAATCATTTTAAAAACATATGGAGTGAAAGAAACTAGATTTTAAAACAGTACATATTAGAGTATTTCATTTATAGGAAATTTATCTGTTTTTAACAGACAAAACTAATTTTTAGTTATATAAATCAGAATAGAAGTTTTTATTTTTAGATAAGGGATCAGAATTGACTAAAAGAGGACATGCAAAAAAATTTTTGGTCATAGAAATACTCTGATTCTTACCTGGGGTATTACAAAAAGAGTCATAGTGGTGTGCTGGAGTTGTCTCTTCTTGGTTTGTGAAAGATGATCATTAAAGATTCAGAAATTTCGTGAACTGCCTGCTAAAACATTGATAACCTGCAGTCAGATATAGTGAGGTTTGCACCTGAAAGCAGGTAAATACTACAAATCAAGGGTTTATTTGCTTCTTTGTTCAGTTTTATTTCTTCTAGAGAGCAGATTTACAAACATACCACTTCATGAGTGTATGAATTTATAAAATTTATTGAATACATTGTGGATTTTATTATTGAAAGTTTGATATGCATACTTTCAGAACTCTACTTTCATGTAATAAATTTGGCTTACTTTCTGTTTTGTTCAAATATATTTATATGCGTAAATAGTTTGGTTCGCTATACATTTCATTTTGTGCATATATTGTGTTTGCTTTGTTTCAACAAAAATGGATTCTACCATATGGTGATATTATATAACGTATACTCTGAAATCCTGCTAATTGGACTTCAATATCAGCACCATGTCTTACTAGCTTTAATATCTCAAATAATTTATCTTACTTCTCTAAGTTTCAGTTCTTTCTTCTGTAACTTATAGATAAAAATGCCGTCTACTTCAGGTTGTTATGGAAACCAAATAGCGTAATACATGTACAGGGTTTAAATCAAGCTCCAAAACATGTTTATCACCCCAAAATGTTAGTTCATGTACATTACCATCTGATAACTTGCTTTGAACAATTATTAACATAGCCTAGGTATTAATCATACTGTTATATATGTTATGTGCCTGGAACAAAGCCTAATTATAGAATTTCAATAAATATTTATGAATTAAAGTAATGAATTATTGCTAAAATAATTCCTGTTATTCTATTGAAAGCCTGTATTTTAATCATATAATTTACAGGTATTTTAACTATATAAATTCTTTCACTTATTCATGCATCCTTAGTTTTTCTCCTGTTGTATTTGCTTGCAACCATTCTGATAACTAAACATTAAAATAAATTTAGACCTTGTATTTTATATGTATATATATATATATATATATATATATATGTAATATAACTGCTAAGCAGAAAGAAATACATTGTGATTCTAAAGGTACATATTGTGGCAATAATCCTGATATGCATATGGCATAATGCAATTAATATAAGTTGCCTACTAATATAACTTGTCTCATAAGATAATACTTTCTTTTTTATTAAATAAAGAAAGATTCTTTAGGTAGTACTAAACTACAAAATGGCTTCTGTCTTTCCCAAAATCAAATTAAAAAATAAAAATCGCAGTCATCACAGCCTAAAAAACGGCACAGCTGCATAAAATGAATCCAGACACACCTGCAAATAATACGCAGCTGGGAAAATAATTGATATAGCTGCTGCACATTATGATATAGCACATAACGTGTTTTGTGGCCTCCAGATGAAAGCTATATCAACTATTTTCCCACCTGTATATTATTTCTTCCCCTACAGATGATCTATTATAGTAGCACGAGGAGACGTGCCTAGAGTTTGAAAACGCAATTGAGGGAGACATACTCCTTAGAAACTTTAATTTTCATGCTAGATATTTTAAATTTTCTACTCCATATCTGTACTTTACCTTTTTCTACCCTTCTCTATGCCTTGGGAGACTGATTATGGAACTAGCTGGATAAATCCTTTTGCATTCTTGCAGCTTTGAATTAAACCAGGGCATGAACTAACAAAAAATTGGAGGGTATAAGGAAAGTGCTGGGTTCCCGTGGGTCAGCTGCATGTGTTTACTAAGGTTATTGTCTTGTAAATTATTCTTTCTTATAGCTACAGTTGCTGCTTCTTAGAGTTACAGTTGCAGCCTCTCTTTACGTCTTCACGGCTAGGAATAGCAACAGTTCTTCACTGTCAATATCGCAGGGTGCTTGAACATCCTGGCTGATAATCCCTTAACACTGGCTCCTATATGTAAATGGTCCCTTAATTAAATTCTCTTTAGTTATCTCTTCTAATAATGCTATTTCTTTTCTGGGGGAATCCTGACTGATACAATTGCAGGCAGGAAGATGGAATTTGTGGCAGTTCATTAATCATCCTTGTTGCAGATACATGCACAGCACAAATCAGAGAAAAATACATGTAGGCATGGTTAGTAGAAGGCAAACTAGTAAGTGAAATAAAATTATGGTAACATTAATATACACACTATAGCTGGAACAGAGAAAGTTCATATAGTCTTACAAAAAATGCCTAATAATATTGAATCCATACTGTAATTATGTCAATATTTTTAATAAAAACATTAAATCATATGATTTATACACATGTAATATCTATATATTAGGTAAACAATATAGAACACACCATTCCTGCTGTAAAATATGTTCAATTTTTTTTATCTGCTCTGAGGTTCTCTAAAATGTAGTCTGTTGTCAACGGAGCAACCAAAGATCCTTTTATAAGTAAGCCAGATCATATCACTTATCTACTCTAAACCTCACATCTAATTAGCAGTAATAGTCAAAGTCCAGAGAACCAAAGTCCTAATTTCTATGATTCTTGCTCTTATTTCATCTACTATCACCCTCCCTTATTCTGCTCCAGCCACAAGTAACCAACATGCTAGCCAATGGAACAGAAATGCTTTCACAGGATTTGGGTTTTTGGTACCTATTGGGACAGTCCTCCTCCAAAGAGATTTACACCCCCCACCCTCATCTACTTCAAGTCTAATGCTAAATGTTACCTTTTAGTTAAGGCTTTCCCAGAATACCCTGTTTAAATTTTCAAACTTCTCATTGTAGTCACCTCTACTACCCTCTCCCGGTTTCCTCCTGAGCACTTAACCATCATTGAACACGCTTATGTATTTTACTTAAAAAGTTGTTTCTTATTGCTTCCCCTCTACCAGAACATAGGTTCTATGAAGATGGATATTTTCATTTATTTTATTTACTAGTAGATTTTTAGCACTCAGAATAGTGCCTGTCACATTCATTTATTGTTAGTGAATGGGTTTTTGTATAAGATAAACTGATTTTTAAGTCAAAATTGTGGTACTCGTTATAGATTGGTTTTGAATAAGAAAAGTGCTACTAATTATAAAAGAGCCTATTTTCAATAATTTGACTTTTTGATTATTACTTATGCAAATGATCCTAGGTTTCAGACAATAATATTAATATATGCTTGTCAGAAAAAATTTTAAATGTCAGAAATTATAATGATAAATTTATATTACACATGTGTCAGAACAGTTTTGGTGTATCTTATTCTACTAGCATACAACTACTTTATATAGTAATGTATATACTTTTTAATTTATATTGTGGGTATATCTTTACATGAATTCTAATATCTTTAAAGTTTTTAACATGTACATAAATATTGTAAATATTTTAATGGCTTCAAAACATTCAATCTTATAAATATTTAAAATCATTTCCAAGGGATCCTCTTGTTTATACTTTTTTATTATTATAATTAATAATGCAATTTAAAATAAAATAGGGTTTAAAAACCTTGTAATTATGTTTTCATGAAGTAAGAGAATGAAATAATTCCATGATACTTCCAAATAATTTATTGAAATAAAAAGTTTGTTCTTCTAAATGGACACAAACCACCACATAGGAAAAAGTGGCCCTTTGTTGTGCCAAAACACATTGTGTGGTCACTGTACTTTTATAACCATGAAACATCCCAAAAAACAATTTACACAGGTGAGCCTGACAGCAATTTAGCCAAGTGGAGACTAAATTTATGAGGAATTGAATGTGAAAGGAGGGAGCTAGACTTTGGGATGTTAAGAATATGAGAAATGCTAACAAAGCCTGAATGGATGTAAGCGAAAATAATCAAGAAGTAAATGATATCAGGAGGTCTATAACTGATGATAGTCTGTGGTGAAAGAGTAGCATGTACTTAAGAGAAAGATGGTACACAAAAGCGTTCCTGTATGTAATGCTGCATTTTCTCATTACAAATAATTTTTTCAAGGAACTGCAATATTTGTTCACTGCTGTGTCCTCAGAACCTTAGGAGAGTCATGGCATATTAGAATAAACAATAATTAATTTTTAACTGGCTGATTCTATGTATATAATAAATATGTA